CCCCAGGGCACCAATGCCTCTCAGTTCACACACCCCAGGGCACCAACACCTCTCACCAGCTCACACACCCCAGGGCACCAACACCTCTCAGCTCACACACCCCAGGGCACCACAAACGCCTCTCTCCCAACTCAGGCACGCCAGAGCTGGAGGACTGGTGACCTGGGTTAGATGATGGAGATAAGTATTTCATGGTACTGATTTTATGTTTTACCAGATGACTCTCAAGGGAAGCCTGTCTCAGGGTCTCCTCCCTCCAAAGCGTGTCTACCCCCTTGTATGAGTTGGGGGATGCACATGCCCTGCTGTCTGGTTCACGGGAGGAGACTGTGGGTTTATCTTGTTCCTGACATGCAGTATTCCTGGGATACACAACATTCTCTCCTGCCAACATGTTGAGGGGGGTCAGAGACAGTTTTCCATCCCTCCAGCCGGGGCTGGATCCGCAGGTGTCCTGAGAGCCGGGAAGGAGGCTGTGGATGGACTGGAAAGGTAAATTTTCTGTTTGAGAAATATCCAGCCCAGAACGGTGTCTCACGCTCACTGGGATACCACAACATAACTTCTTGGAAGGATTTGTTTTTCTTCTTTGAAAATGGAGAAGAACTGTTACTTCCTTGACAGATTTAAATCCTCGAGGCTTCTCGTTGCTGTCTGTCCTTCACAGCAAGTTTCAAGACATCCGTGTTTCTTGAGGCTTGAGTGCGCCTGCAGTGATCGAGACGCCGTCTGAGCCTTTCGAGACCTCGGCCACCTGCACGAGAATTCTAAGGCACAGTCTGGGCTGTGACCGCACTCCTTGGAAACTGCTGGCTGGTCTGCTGCTGCTTGAACAAGCCGCATGTTCATTAACGTAGAGTGCGTTCATCGGCATTTGCTCAGAACCCCATCAGGCTTCATGCCCACTGTGTCATGCAGTTTGCTGCGTGCCGCGAGGGAGGTGGAGAGGAGCAATGAGCGGTATTGAGCTTTGGAGGCTGGGGGCCTGCCACGGCAGGTCGTGCCTGGTCCTTCGCTGCTGGTGAGGGACGGGAGGGAAGGGTGCAGACATGGCTGCTCTGGCAGCGACAGCAGTGGCTCAATCCCAGCTGACTCCAGCACAGCTCCATAAAGGGGGTGCTTGTGTCCCCATGTCCGAGCGGTTCTCAGGGCCCCTTCTGGTGCATCCTGGACTCCGCAGGGAGTCCCGCCTTCCATACTGTTACCGTCTCTGCCCAGCTGCTGGGACCCCTTGGAATCTCGGCCTCAGGGTGATGGGAGAAGTGTGCTTGGGCCCCAGTGTGGCCACCTGCTGGCCCCAGGACTGCTGGTTTGAGGGCTTCGAATGTCACTCCTATGGGGTGGGATGCTGGCTGGGCCCTGCCCACCCTTTTAGCTTGAAGTCTATCTCATGGTAGAGAGAAGTGCAGTCTATGAAGGGAGGACCCGGGCACTAGGAGCAGACTGGACGCTCCAATGGGCAGCCCCAGTGGGAAGCGGGGGCTGGGAAATCCCCAGCACCTCACACTCAGGTCAAAGTCCTGCTCCCTGAGGGACGGGCAAGCCTAAAGGCTGTTTCCCAGTGTGCTGCTTCCTGTGCCTGGGTGGCGCTAACAGAGGCAAGCGACAGATGAAGTCGGATTCACATTGGCTCATTAAAGTGGAGATCAAGGAGAGGCCGCCTGCAGAAGGAGGAATGTGACAACGACACGTTTGTGGAGAGGAGAGTCCCTTTGAAAGGGCTTTAGTAATAAGGGTTAACTTCCTAATTGTGAAAGCTGTTGGTGGTGAGAGTGTTCTGGAACACAGCATGTGACCCATCTCTCCAGCTGGAAGGAAAACCCTGTTTCTGAGCCACTGGGCACCCCGACTTTGCTGTTTCCTTTTCACTGTTTTATATACAAAT